TTCCTGGTGCCTTGTTCTTTGCCAATTCCTTCAGTGCACTTAGGACTTCTTCCTTCAGTATCATTGGCTCTTGATCATATGCTACCTCTTGAAATGGTTAAAATCAACCATTTCCTTTTGGTACAGTGACTCTGTGGATTCCTTCCATCTTCTTTTGATGCTTTGTGCATCATTCAATAATTTGTCCAGAGAATCCTTCAATAATGAAAATTGAGTCTTGAATTTTTTCTTCAGCTCCCCCCAGCTTGAGAAATGCTGAGCATGTTCTTCCTTTTTGCTTTTCTGACTCCAGATCTTGACACATTTTGTTGTAATATTTGACTTTGTCTTCTTGAGCTGACCTTTGAAATTTTCTGTTCAGCTCTTGTACTGCCTTATTTCTTTTTTCTTATTTTTTATTTCTTATTTCTTTTCATTGGCTTTAGCATCTCTATACTGGAGAGCAAGTTTCAGTATCTCTTCTGACATCCATTTTGACCTTTTTCTTCTTTCTTGTCTTCTTAATGACTTTTTGCTTTCTTATTGTATGATGTTCTTGATGTTGTCCCACAACTCTTCTGGTCTTTGGTTGTTAGTGTTTAATGTATCAAATCTGTTCTTCAGATGTTCTCTAAATTCAGGTGGGCTATATATATTCAAGGTCATATTTTGGCTTTTGTGGACTTTGTTTTCATTTTCTTCAGCTTTAGATTTAATTTGCATATGAGCATATGGTCTGGTTTGTGACTGATGATACGGAGTTTTTCCATCATCTCTTACCACAAATGCAGTCTATTTGATTTCTATGTATTCCATCTGGTGAGGTCCATGTGTATAGTCATCTTTTATGCTATCTAAAGAACGTATTTGAAATGAACAAATCATTGATTTTGCAGAATTCTATCATGTGTTCTCCAGCATCATTTCTATCACCAAGGCCATATTTTCCAGCTTCTGATCCTTCCTCTTTGTTTCCAACCTTTGCATTCAAATCACTGATAATGATCAATACATCTTGATTGTATGTTTGATCAATTTTAAATTGAAGAAATTGGTAGAATTATTCTATTTAATACTCACAGGCTTTAGTGGTTGGTGCCTATATTTGAATAATAGTGGTATTAACTGGTCTTCCCTGTAGGCACATGAATGGTATCCTATCACAGACAGCATTGTACCCCATGACTGATCTGGATATGTTCTTTTTGACAATGAATTCAACACCATTCCTCTTCAATTTGTCATCAGTGGCATAGTATAGCTTGTGATTGTCAGATTCACAATGGCCAATACCAGTCCATTGCAGCTCACTAATGCCTAAGATATTGATGTTAGGACCTGCTATTATCAGACATCCCTCATTCTGGTTTCATGATGATACTGTGAGATGAGTATTAACATTGCCCTTTTACCTTTGAAAAAACTGAAGTTTAAAGAGGCTAACTAGTCTGTGTTAGACCATTTAATTGGGAAATTGTAGAATCAGATTGAAACCTCATATCAAATATTATGTTTTTAATCACTACCTCTACCATCTACTGTATACTTGGGTGAAAACTGCAAAGGGGACTTAGTGCCTACCTTCACCAGGGTCTCTGACTAGACTTTCACATTCATAGAAAACTGGAACTGAGTTTGGTGGAGGAATGGGGTGTTAGGTGCTGTGTGGAAGTGCAGTGGTACCTGGATGTCCTGATTGATTTCATTTCTCTGTCATACTCACTCAACCTCCAGGTTTGTCCGTCCTGCAGAAAGTCCTTGATACAGCTGCTGAGAAGAATTGGCAGGTGACAGCAGTCAACATTTTAACAACTACAGAAGAAGGTTATCGAATGCTCTTTCAGGACCTGGAGAAGAAGAAGGAACGGCTAGTAGTGGTGGACTGTGAATCGGAGCGCCTTAATGCCATCCTGGGTCAGGTAGTGAGGGCAGTAAGGGCACAGGGTGGGCAGTGGAAGCAAAGAGTGCAGCAGCAGAGGTGGGAGGAGGGGTATTAGGGTGCTTTTGTTGGATCATTCAATCATTTTTGTTTTTATACTACAAATGTGTACTAAACACCTACCATGCACCAGGTAACTATGATAAGCCTTGAGGATGTGGCAGAAAACAAGGGAGACAAGGTCTGTACCTTCATAGAACTACATAGATAAAGAATGCAACCTCATGATCATGTAAACACTGTTTGGTTATGTAAACATGCTACTAACATGCAGGATATTATGAAAGTACATATGAATGGGGTGGAGAGAAAGCCAGCATGGGTCAGAAGGAAAAGACTAGATGGAGGTCTAAAAACATCAGTGGGACCAAATTGCTCATCTTTGTTTCTCAATTATTCCACAAATAAAATGGGGTTCCTAATTCCTTATCTGATTGCCTCCTGAAACCTTGTATAAAATGTCAACACTTCATTGGCCTATGACGGTAGTGATTATAGTCATTACTATCATTGTTGTTATTAGTGCCATTGAGTTGGTCTGACTCATAGTAACCATGTATATGGTTTCTGAGAAATGGCTGGTAGATTTGAACCACTGACCTTGTGATTAGCAGGCCACACCAGGATTATAGTGTCACACCTGGATTCTATCATTATCATCATCAGTATTCATGGTAACAGCTATAAAGTCTTAAATGTCCATGCCATTGCATATGTTCTGTGAGGCATAGTCCGTGCACGCAGAGATCTTCACAATATCACTCTACAGAGAAGTGAAATCTGAGAAGTAAACTATGAGATTTCTCATAAGACTAAGCAGAAAATTAGGATGCAAACCCAGGTAATGTTGCTTCTAGAATTAGTGGATGACGGGGCTGGGACGATCACTGCTACATGCCTGTTTCACTTGTTTATTGAGGGCTGACCATGTTCCAGGCATGGCCCCAGGTCTCGCAGATAAAGCCAGGGTAAAATAGTCTTAATTCCCATCTTTATAGAGTGTATGAACTTGAGAAAGAAGCAGGGATTAATCAAATAATCAGGCAAATAAAAGTAAACTTATAGTTGTGTTTAGTATTCTGAAGAAGATATCTGCGGTGACTAGAAGAAAGCAAACATAATGTAAAACTCATAATGTTGTTGTTGTTGCTAAGTGCTGTCGAGTCGGGATCTGACTTATAGCGACCCTGAGCAGGGTTTCCAAGGAGCAGCTGGTGAGTTCAAACTGCCAGCCTTTATGGCCCAAACTGACTGCAGTTTACCGCATTAACCAGCAGCACCACACCAGAAGTCCAAATTAATAACAGGAATATAGGAAATGCTTAGTAAATATTAGCTAGAATGAGTAGGAGCATTCCTGGTGTGGCACTATAGGATCACCACTGAACTGCGAACCACAGGGTTGGCAGTTCAAATCTACCAGGTGCTCCTCAGAAACCCTATACAGAGTCACTATGAGTCAACCAACGACCTCACTAACAAGAATATTAATAGGAGTAGAACGTGACTATGTTGGGTGGTCAAAAAAGGCTTCTCTGATGAAATGTTCATTGTCCTAAGATCTGGAAGTTTAGGCAGAAACAAACAGAGATATGTAAGAATGAAAGCCAAAGGAGAGGTGAAAACATGTGAAAAGGCACATTGTGCATTCTAATAATTACATATTTGGAAAACCAATACAATTTGCTTTTATTCCAAGTGCAGTTTGAGGGGGTGGTGGTATTGGTTGTGTGCCACTGAGTCAGCTCCGATTCATAACGACTTTGTATTGAGTTTCTAGGCTATAAATCTTGATGGGAGCAGAAAGCCTCTTCCTTCTTGCAACAGGTGACTGATAGATTCAAACTACAGACCTTGCAGTTAGCAGTCCAGTTTGTAATTCATTATGCTACCAGAGCTCCTTCATTTGGCACTGTGGATTAATGTGCTGGACTACCAGGTCAGCAATTTAAGCTCACCAGATGCGCCTCAGAAACTCTACACAGGGTCACTATGAGTCAGAACCAACTCGGCTGGCCTTATCAACAACAAAGATTAAAAATTTGTTTTAACTGTTAGTGACACAGAAAAGATTGTTTCTATCTTCTTTGCAATACTTCAAATTAGATGTAAATGGTTCTGTCATGGCCAAAAGAGTGCACATAAAAAGTCCCATGAGGACAGTCCAAGACCAGGTGATCAGTCCTGTGAGGAAAATTCAAGAATGGGTAAAAGTTGCACAAGATGGCTGGTAAATGGGTCTGGCAGGATAGCCTGGAGAAAAGAGTCCAGTTGGTACCAAGATACTGAACAGGGAATTTCTTCTCTGCTGTAAGATTTTTCTGAGTCTTTTAATCTTTGTTGAGGCTTTTCTAACTAAAAATTTTCATTTTAAAGCCTACCCAGGCCTTGGAGATCTCTTTCTGTATTTTACTTCTGGTTTTCTTCTGGTTCTGGCTTTATTCTGGTTCATCATGCTGGGATAGAAACAACTGTAATATGTCCTGAGAGTTTGATGGTTGAGTAGAATCTCTGAATGTATTCTGAGTTGTTGAAGTCCGGACACGACTTAAATTTGATGTAAGTTTAATTGTGTATGCATAATACATTCTAGAAGCATCTTAATTGAAATTATTTCAGTTATGATTCTATAGGGAAAAAAAAAGTTTCCCCTACTGTGGGAAAACACTGGACTTCTAACTGGAAGGGCAGAAGTTCAAATCCACCAGCCACTCCTTGAAAACCGTATACAGGGTCACGATGAGTCAGAACTGACTTTATAGCACTTAACAACAATAACTGTGAGAGCAATCAGTTGGGTTAAAATACTAGAGTTAATGTAGAAAAACAAAACAAGACAAAATAAAACTGGGTTCCTATGTGTTTATGTTTTATGGCATTTCATAAGTTTGAGTTTTAAGATGGACATAATTTTTCGGTTTCACTTTGTTCTGTGAGCTTACTGTTTTTTTGACCCTTACTGACATGCTCTGCTGATGACATGAAATGCCTATCAAAAATTTCCAACAGAAAAATAGACTATATTGCACTTGCAGAAAGGACTGATGTTTTGAACTTGAAACCTAACAGACTAAATCAAGATTTCCAGAACTCTGAAAGGTGACAATGTTTACAAATTACAGCTAATCCAAAAGTCATCAAGAACAGAGATAAGCGAATGGGTTTTTATATGAAAACATTTGACTTTTTCAAGGTTATGTTTTCCTAGGTTTGAGAAACCATTTTTCTCCTAATTTAAGTAATGGATATTGGTTTCTAACTTTCTGATTAGAAATCTTATTAGTAAATGTGAGATGATTATAATAACCATGATTTTTAAAGCCCTGATAGCATAGTGGATTACAAATTGGGCTCCTAACCACAAAGTCATCTTTCTCCTGGAGAGTGCTACCAGTCACTGGTGAGCTTAACCACCGACCTTACAGTTCAAACTGACATTGCAGTCCAGCACATTAACCTGTAGTGCCACACCAGGCCTCTTGCCATTGAGTCGGTTCTGATTCATAATGACCCTGTGTAGTGTTTCTGAGTAGTGACTGGAGAGCTTGAAACTCCAACCCTGAAGTTCAAACTGACCTTGTAGTCCAGCACCGTCACAGACCACACTACAACCTCAGAAACCCTATGAGGGTTGCTTTGAGCTTGAATAACTCAATGGCACACAACCACCACCAGAAAAGATTAAATTTGAACTATGATTTTATAGAGTAAAATGACAATAAGCTTTTTATCTGCTTAAATGTCTTAAGAAAAGAATTTTCTGCTAAATGTCTTAAGAAAAGTGTTTTATATGTTTAATAGTTAAGTGTTTGTATGTTCATGTTCACATACAACTTAAGGTTTATAGAACATAGCTGTGCAGGGTTGGCAGTTCAAACCCACCAGATACTCCTCAGAAACCCTATATAGGGTCACTGTGAGTCAGAATTGGCTTCACGGCACTTAACAACAACTTATGCATAGACAAAACCTAATGTTTTTGAACAAGTCTTTCAGGGTTTGGTATCCTGGATGTTTCAGACCATTTGCCCAGTGTTATTTGAGTTTCTGCTGTGTTCCTTTTGAACTTTTTAATTCTTACAAAGAAATGGATGTCTAGAGGCTATTTTAATATAAATTGATTTAGAAAATCTACTGAGAAGATTTTGCTCTGAGCATTGTGCTCTTTTAAAGGATTCAGTCTGTTTTTAGAGAAACAGGCTTTCATGGAAATAAGAGTCATTTGGAGTTGGAACAATATTTAACATTTTGTTTAATCTCAAAGCAATGTTATTGTGGGATACCTATCTAATGATCTTGATTGAGCTATTGCCCCCTTGTGGCATGTTTTGAATCCAAGCCCTTTGGGGAAGGGATTCATCTTCAACTTGAGTTGTTTTTTCAAGTGCTTCTTCTCATATGACTTTGCCCTACAGTTGTGATGATCTAGGAATTTCTATGGTGGTTCATGATCAATGCAGGGGTTAATATGTGTATGGGGGATGTACGCATACCAACCACTACTCATTTGTAAGTTTGTTGTACTGTGGTGGCTGGTGAGTTGCTGTGATTCTGGACTCTATGCCACAGGTATTTTAAATACCAGCAGGGTCACCCATGGTGGACAGATTTCAGATGAGCTTCCAGACAAAGACAGACTAGGAAGAAGGAATGAACTATTTATGAATGTTTAGTCACTGAAAACCTTATGAACAGCAGGAAGACACTGTGAGATATAGTGCTGGAAAGTGAGCCCCTCAGGTGGGAAGGCACTCAAAATGAAACCAGGGAAGAGCTGCCTCCTCAAAGTAGAGTTGACCGTGTTGACGCGAATGGATTAAAACCCATGGGAATAAAGCCCTCAGGCCCTTCATTTGCTGATGGGGCCAACTCAAAATGAAGAGAAACAGTTGTAAACATTCATTAAGAATCTGAACATGGAATGTACCTTTGTATGAATCTAGGAGAATTTGAAATTGTCAAAAATGAAATGGAACATAT